TATCGAAAAAGTATCCCGAAAAATTATAATAAGTGTATGATAATTACTATAATGATATGTAGGACTTGCAAAACGAGTTTCAAGTCCAAATAATGAGAACTGATGCTAGAAACCGGTACTGGCTTGGAAAAATGCGTACTGGAAAAGTGCTCAGAAAATTATAAGAAAAATATGATAAATCTTAGAAAATTATGTAGTTTCATAATCCAAAGTTTGGGATTAAAATGCTAAGCGTAGCAATTAAAGTGAATCTTGTGTGTTAATCTTTAAGTGGGCTATATAAGCCTTAGTGGACACTAAACCCTATGCCATATTACTTTCTCTACGTGAGTGTGTGAGGATGGCTGATCAGCTTGGCTGCTCTTTGGGATTTCTTCTCCATTTTGGGTCCAAGACACATCATTTCTTGATTTTCTTCACACTTTCACTTGGGAGACACTTGGTGAGGGTGAGAGCTAGCTTTGGGACTCCATTGCTGGTCTTTTCTGAGTTGAGAGAGCTGCTGTGTGTGAGGTTTTGAGGCTGACTTGGGTTGGTTGTTTGTGGGAGCCTTTGTTTTGACATGGTGAGGTCCAAGAAGCTTCCTTTGTGTTGAAAGGTTCAAGCTTGTTGATCCATTTTCGTGCACCTTGTCGAGTTAGTCTTGAGGGGCTGATTGTGAGCTCCAAAGAGCAACCTCTTCTTCTGTTTTGAGCTGGGGTATGTGTACCAACCTTTGATCTTGAGTTTAATGCTTAAAAAGGAAAGCTTGATGCATGTTAAGGCTTAAATATGATAACTTGTTGTTGGTTAATGTTGAACACACCTAGAAATGTATGTTTAGGTGTTTAAAATCGGTAAAAACCCAACCTTGGAAGGATATCTTTACGAAATGCATTTTCTGCATTATGTCGTGAAATATCCAGATATGTGCCCGATGAATATTCGGATATGTGATATCCGGATATGGGTTTTGAGTATCCGGATATTAGATATCCGGATATGGGATTCTGGATATCCGGATATTGCATATCTGGATATGTCCAGTGAGATATCTGGATATGGTCTCGAGGAATATCCGGATATTGCATATCTGGATATGTCCAGTGAGATATCCGGATATGGTCTCGAGGAATATCCGGATATTCTGGGATTTTGAAGAACAGTAACTGTGCTGTGAGGACAGTAGGCTATTGGGGGTTTGTGGACCCTAGATTGAGGAAGTTGAACTTCTGTTTTAATTAAACTAAGTCAAATCGTTGTGATTAAGGACTTATGGCTTGGTATGGAGCCTTAAGACGTAAAACGTAAGGAAAGGCGATGTCTTTAAGTTATATGCTTGTGTTGCATTATTATTGATATAGTATTGGTCCATAACAGATTGTGAATCTGCTGTGTTTGGACGTTGAGCTGTGGACTCTTGATTATTGGATAGCTAGCTTGCGAGGTAAGCTTTCGTGTCCTCAGTTTAGCCATGTTGTGGTTCCACCATGTCCCATGGGGGTATGGTTTATGCATGTTGTGTACATGCTTTTATTGAACTTTACATGTAATGGCTTTTAATATGCATGTGTTGTTTCATCTTGACGGGAAGCCTGAGTATGTAGCGCCATACAAGACGGTGTACCGGGGTGAATGCAAGTGGTACTTGCACGGTGTGTAGGTGATAGACGTATACCTGCACTGTCTCTGGCCAATAGATTAGTATTGACACACATGACATGATTATCTGCTGCATTGCATTGTTTTAGAAATGATAAATGATAAACTGCTTTTGAACTTATATTGCACATGTAAGTGAGCTTGAGGTGGAAGATCCTTGAGGACTCACTGACTTACTGAGATTTCTAGATTAGAGATCTTACCCCCACGTTTGGGGAATGCTTATTTCAGGATCAGGTAGTATGGGAACTGATGCCTCAGGCGGCAGGAGGTCGGAGCTTAGCTGATTTTGTTGTTTCTGCTTATTTGTTAGCATGACTGGATATCGATGCTGATTATGTTTTATGCCTTTTATCATTATGTTGTTGTTGAGACTGATGTTGGTCATGTTGCCTTATTTGAGTGAGCATGAGGATTGTCCATGACACTCTCTGTCAGTATACATTTACATAGACTTCACTATAGAACTATACTTTAAGGTTGACCCCTATGCGATGTTATCCGAGATTGATTATTGTGGTATGGAGTAGGCAGTCTTATCTTGCATTAACAATAGGTGAAAGAGGCTAATTACTTGAACTAAACCTATAACGTCTGTGTCACATGGCAACAACAATATTCATTGTGTTAAGATTTCCCTTCAATTATCATTCTCACGTTTATAGGTAGGAAAAATAGCATATGATTTTCCCATTTAGATTATATGTTCAACAAAATATGTCATTTTATCAACTCATTAAAAAATGAAGAGAAAAAATAAAATAAAATATAGAGAGCATGGGAGATTTTAATCAATGTATAGGCAAATTGTCATAGTATTACACAAAAATGTTCTCAAAAAACAAAAGCAATATATTGTTAACTCCAATAAAAAGATAATGTGTGAAAAAGTTTGGCGATTTACGGTCGTGCACGTTCAGAAAAATATTGAATTTGTTAGAAGAAAACCCTAGTATCTACAAAACTTTATATTTCGAAACAATTCTTTTAGAAGCAATAAGCTTTATTAATAGCATAAATGAGATTCACAAAAAAAGAAAAAAAAAACAAAAAAAATATTTACAATTAAAAAATGCATAAATCTAAGAAAGTTTCAATGATTTTTATTTTCTTGAGCATTAATATGCTAGCTATTCCAATTCAATAGTATTCTACCTTTGTTCGAGCAAAAAGCTAAAGAGAAATATTTTAGAATTTAAAGCATAAGGTTTTATAAAGACATAATAGCCTGAGATATTTAAAGATAAAAGATTTTGTAGTTAGATTCAAGCGCACATTTCAAATAGCCATAGAGATATAATTTCAACAAATTAAAACCATTTTCAACCTACATTGAACTTTTATTCGAAAAAGTCAAGAACTTGCTCAACTTGTGCATACTGATATACATAAAAAAAAAAATATAATCCCTCCCCTCTTTCTCTCTCCTTCACTCCCTCTCAAATATGTGAAATTTTAAGAGTTATGTTTCTTCTATTAATCAAATTTAGCCAGTTAACAACATAAAGGACAACAATTGATGAGTAAATCTAGTAGTTCCAAACCACCGAAAAATAAGAATAACTTGCGAGAAAAAGGAAATATAGAAATTCCCAATATTTCAACAATTAGTTGTTAAACCAACTAATAAACATAAGTCAACTACATTCTTGATTAATACTAAAAACCAATTGACTGCTATAATTGTTCAAGCATTTATTTGGTGTCTCTGATAACAAATATCAGGCACAAAAACAAGAAACATCTTATTTTCTCATCTTCATATGGTTTATTGCTCTAAGGTATGTAATACCTTTTGCGGGTGTCAAAAAGAAAATACAGTTCCACGATCAGAAGATGTCAGAACTCCAACGAACATTCGAATCCCAGAACTAGTAGCAATCGAAAACCCTAACGCTGCAAGAAACATGAAGATTTTTCAATGCCACTACTATAGAGAACATGAATTCACACGTATTTGTTGCTAAGTAAATTTAACATCAAGGAATTCTTTTTGGTTTTTATTTTTTCCTCTCTCTCTTTTGTGAGGATTGAGTGGCTTAGACTAGCTTGGTCCTTTCATACCAATAATAACAAACAACAACCATTTGATCGAATATAAACAATGGGAATTTATTTTTATTTCATTTTCATTCCTTCATCAATGAGGCACCCAAATTAATAGACAAAAAAACTAAGAAAACATCAAAAGAAGATTGAAGAAAAATACCTTAAGATGTGGCTTACGAACTCGGTATATATCAGGGGTCACACCATTCAACCGCAAGCCTGGAAAACGCACCTACAAAATCGAAACAGCAACACTTGTATTAACATCCTAAAAACAATGCATAACAAAATTAACCTAATCCATCTGTTGAATAATAAACTTGATCTATTGGGCTTATAGTTGTTAAATGAACCAACATATAGAAATATGCAAGAGATGCTTAGCCAAATTCAAGAGTAATCCACTCTAGATTACTCCACGAAAATAACTAGACATTTATACCTAGAAACAACCATCATTAATGTCTAGGCTAAGAAATTGTGGAGAATTCTAGAGGATGATTTGTAGTCCTTAGATGAAATTGTGTTGGCACAATCATAGTTATTGGTTAAGGAGGTGCCACTAGTATAAATAAGTGTGTTCTCCATCATTTTGTATCAAGAAAAAAGAAAAAAAAAATTGAGTAGAAATAAAGTATTCTCTTCCTCCAAATCTTTTTGAAATTTTCCTTTTCTCAAATATCCTCCTCCCAACAATATCATCATCACATAATTAATGAGGTAAAAACACAACAAAAGAAAAAGAAATTATCTCAAATTTTGTATCAAGCAAAAAGAAAAATAGTTGAGTAGAAATAAAGTAGCTCTTCCTCCAAATCTTTCTAAAATTTTCATTTTGTCAAATATTCTCCTCCCAACAATATCATCAACATATGATTAATGTGGGGAAAAACACAACAACAAAAATAAGTTCAACAACTAATCCATCAAATAAAAGCTCAATTCCTAATCAAAGCGAACATTACATCCAGCTTTTTTATACAACCTTTTGCTCATAAAATCACAGCACCCGCAGGCATTAACATCCTCAGAAAACCTAATTATCATCATCATATAATTAATAGGGAAAAACACAACAATAACTAGTTCAAAAACCGAATCCCAAAATCCGAATAACCAAATTCATCAAATAAAAACCAAGTTCCAAATCAAATTCAACATTAATCCTATTTTTTTCCACACTTTATTGTGGAAAAACACAACATTATATCATCAGAAAATCACCAACACCTGCAAGCATTAACGTACCAAAAAACCTAACAAAACCTAATCACCATATAATTAATAGGAAAAAAAAAACAAGTTGTTAATCACCAAATCCACAAAAAAGTAAATAAGACCATCAAGTATAAAGTGAACATTACATCCAATTGCTTTTGCACATTCCTTGCTCTCTTCTTAGGCTTCTTGGGTGGCTTGTCCCCAGTCATGCGTATGAAATCCTCCTCAATTTCTTCCTTCATAAGAGACATTGAGATCATTGGCCACTTATAACGTACTTCGATTGGCACCGCCACCTTATCCTTCTCCATCTCCATCTGCATCTCCATCGGCGCAGTCTCACAAGCTTGAGTCCTAACCATTCTAGAACGCGTCCTACTTGCTAGCAAACCACCACTCCTCGATCCTCCTTCCCCATTATTGTTGTGTGAATTCAGAGGCTTCTTAATCAATGGCTTCCTAGGCCTCAAGTTCCACGTCTTCACAAAAGGGAATTTTGGTTCTAGATCCTCAAATGAATACTCAGCATCAGCTTCTTCATCTTCACCCTCCTCAGAGACTCTGTCATCAGAAGCATCTCCACAATCCTTGTTCTTAGACTCTTTCTTCTCAAGAGTATCATCGAGTTCACCTTCTTTTTCAATACCCTTCCTTGCTCCATCATCACTCTCAGAGGAATCATTGCTGTTATTGTTTTTTCTCTCCACTTGGTTCGATGGCAAATCAAAATGTGGAACCGGGTTCAAACTAGGATCCCCAGAACCATTGGTGTTGAAGTTGGTATGGTTGTTCTTAGACTGATTCAAATCCACCAATCCAGAGGAGTTATTATTATTGTTCTCAGTCTGATTGGGTAGTGAACCACAAAGCAAAGCCTGGTTCAAACGAGTATCCCACATTCTAGAGGAGTTTCTGTTGTGGTTTTCAGCATGATTCATAGGCGAACCAAGATGCAGATTAGAATAACCCAACCCAAAGGAGTTCGTGTTCTCAGTCCGGTTTGGTGACAAACCAAAATGAAAAGGTGAGTTCAACCGGGTTTGATTGTTATTGGTTCGGAAGGTTGGATTGTTGTTCACAGTCGGATTTGGTTGCAAGCCAAAACGATGAACCAGGTTCAAATCAGAATCCCTTGGCCCACAGGAGTTGTTGTTGTGAGTCTGGTTTGGCTGTGGACCATAGGGTTGTAGCGGATTCAAACCAGAAACCCTTGACCTAGAGGAGTTGTTGCTCTCAGCCCAATTTGAAGTTCCAGACCAAAAGAAGTTGTTGTTATTCTCAACTTGGTTCGATGGTGAGCCATAATGCAAATATGGGTTCATACTGTAATGCACTGGTCTGTTGCTGCGAAAGCTGGGATGGTTCATGGAATATCTGTAGTTGGTGTAGGGAAAGTTGTGCATGTAGGGAGAGGGAGGCTTTACAAAGAAGGCAGAAGAAGGTTGTGGTGGTGGTGGCGGCGGCGGCGGCGGTGGCGGTGGCAGGGGGTGGGTGGGTGGTGTTTCGGTCTCGGACACTGAATGGAGCACCATTGGGATTAAGGAAAAAGAAGAACACTGGTGGTGTTTTTGATTTGATTAGAAGAAGATGAATGAAAACAAAGAAAAAAGGATGAGATGGAAGCATTGTTACGAAATGTGATAGAATAATACAATAGAGGTAGAGCTAGACATAAATGAGAAAGGTTGCAAAAATGGAAGGAGTATTACTATAAATTATGAAACTTACAAGCTTGGGAGAAAATCCATTTTAAATTTTGAATATCTTTTGATTTTATGTTATGAAATTTACAAGCTTGGAAAAAAATTAATATTAGATTTAAATTTTTATGATTTATTAATTATATGAGAGATTCCAAATATGCGTTAGAGATTGAGGCCAGACTGTATATTAGGTGTAATTATTTTCAAGGTACTTCAAATATATATGATTAATTTAAGGATTAGATCATTTTACATCTGTGTAAGTTATATTTTTTAATAATCATTTTGCATATGTGTAATTTATGTTTGTTAATACTTTTCATTGATCATGTTTGTATTTAACTGCTCTGACTTATTAAATATGCGAGCTTCTAGATATAAACAGATAAGAGGTCAAATTAGGCTTAACGCTCCTTATTTTTATAATGGAGTAAGAACAACCTACCTCTTTATTTAAATATAAAATTACTTTTTTTTTAAATTATGAAGAAGATATATGTAATTAATTATAAAAAATTTAAATTTAAAGTATAAAAAAAAAATTAATAATGGCATGTGTAATTCTTTAAAATGTAGAAAACAAAAATACTAATTTAATTATACAAAATGTGATAGAACAATTTAAAATAGATAGAGTTAGACAGAAAATAGAAAAGTTGCAAAAAAGGAAGAAGTATTATGAGAAATTATAAAATTTACAAGTTTGGAAGAAAATTTATTTTGAATTTTGAATATTTTATGATTTCAAGTTATGAAACTTATAAGTTTAGAAGAAAATCCATATTAGATTTAAACTTTATTACTATTATTATTATTATTATTATTTAATCATAGGAGAGAGTACAAATATGAGGCGTTAGAGATTGAGGGCCAGCCTGTGTATTAGGTGTAATTATATTTTCAAGGTATTTCAATATATATGACTAATTTAACGGTTGGATTAGAGGTGTCAAAATTGTAGTGAATTTGATGGAGAATATAAGAGAAAGTGAAATATGAAAGAAAAGAAAATGAAGTGTAGAAAAAATTAAAAAAAAAAAGAATAAAATAAAAATAGGTATGAGCAAAGAGTCTGTATAAGGACCTATCTTAGATGCATTTTTAAACATGGAAGTCATTAAAAAATAAAGAGTCTCATGTTATGAACCATGTGAAAGATCATTCATAATCCATGTGAAAGGTCATGCATATCTATGTGAAAAGTCATCCATAATCCATGTGAAAGGTCATCCATAATATCTTACAATATCCCTTTGGATTTATTCTGCAATTCAACTCACCATTAGTGTGATAATTATAGAATATATCAAAGGTCATGAAAAATAAAAGAGTCACATGTTATGAACCATGTGAAGTTCATCCATAATATTTTACAACAAAAATTAATTTTTCAGTAGCGATATATTTTAATAGAGATTTTCATCTGCGCATCAATAAAAATAAAATTTTTATTGACATCTAAGCATGTTATACATCCAAATTTGTATTGAAACATATTGTATACAATGCACTTTGTTAATTTTGTTGATAATAATAACTAAAAAGTTTTTTGTAACGATAGTAGTTAAAGAAAATCAATTATTTTACTTTCAAATATATAACATACTAAGAGCAGTTATTCAATACTGGTATTAAGATAATTTTTCCATAATTACTTTTAGTTTTCCACTATAATTGTTGTATTTACTCTCGGCGAGAAAATCTTTATTTGATGGCATCATTTGATAATGAATTTAGTAAAAGTAGTAACTAAATTTTAACTTATATTAAAATTTTGTTTATATTTTCACTTGTATATTTATGTACAAATCTTATTTTATTAAAAAATTAAATTATAAAAAATTTATAATTTGTATAAAATATTCTAAGAAAGTGTTAAAAATTCATTTGTTAAAATATTTTTTAATGTATTAAATATGATAAAAAAATTTTATGAAATTATAATTTTGGATGGCCCGCGGGCTGGCCCTAACCAATAGGGCTTTTGGCCCATGCGGGCCTTGATTATTGAGGTTCATTTGGCCCTGCAGGCTTTTTGGCCCTAACCCACACAGACTAGGGCCAAATAAGACGGGCTGGCACATTTTGACAGCTCTAGGTTGAATCATTTTACATATGTGTAAGTTACTTTTTTTTAATACTTTTCATTGATCCTATTTATATTTAACTACTCTGACTTATTAAATATGTGAGCTGCTAGATGTAAGCAGATAAATGGTCAAAATTAACTGTAAGACTCCTTATTCTTTCATCGGTGCAAGAATAATCTGCCTCTTTATTTAAATATGAAATTAAACATTATTTAAGATTACGAAGAAGATATATGTAACTAATTAAAAAGAGTTTTACAGTTTAAAAATAAAATTAATAATGGAATGTGAAGTTCTCCAAAAGAGAGCAAACTAAAATACTAATTTATTGCTACAAAATGTGATAGAACAATTTAAGAGAGGTAGGTAGAGCCGGACAGAAAAGAGAAAAGTTGCAAAAAAAGAAGAAGTACTATGAGAAATTATGAAATTTACAAGTTTGGAAGAAAATTCATTTTAAATTTTGAATATTTTATTATTTTGTGTTATGAAATTTACAAATTTGGAAGAAATTCTATATATTAATTTTTATTTATTTATTTAATTTTTTAATCATAGGCATTGTTGTTAAAATCTCGATTTATCACTACGATTTTATGTTTTTACGATTTTTTTATCCAAATGATTTTACTAATATTCCAAACGCTTTTACGATTATTTTACATTATGATTTTATGTTTTACGATTTTTTAATTTTCTTCCGATTTTACTTAAGATCTCGATTTTAATAACATTGATCATAGGAGAGATTCCAAATACGAGGTGTTAGAAATTGAACCAGGTTGTGCACTGGATCATTTTACATCTGTGTAAGTTATATTTTTTAATAATCATTTTACATATGTGTAAGTTATTTTTTTAATACTTTTCATTGATCTTATTTGTATTTAATTGCTCTAACTTATTAAATATGCGAGCTTCTAGAAATAAGCAGATAAAAGGTCAAATTAGGATTAAGACTCCTTATTTTTATATGGAAGTAAGAACAACCTACCTCTTTATTTAAATTAAAAATAAAAATTATTTAAAATTATAAAGAATATATAAGCAATTAATTAAAAAAGAATTTAAATTTAAAATTTAAAAATAAAATTAATAATGGCATGTGTAATTCTTTAAAAGATATCAAACTAAAATACTAATTTATTGCTACAAAATGTGATAGATCAATTTAAGAGAGGTTGGTAGAGCTGGACAGAAAAGAGAAAAGTTGCAAAAAAAAGAAGAAGTATTATGAGAAATTATGAAACTTACAAGTTTGGAAGAAAATTCATTTTAAATTTTAAATATTTTATTATTTTATGTTATGAAATTTACAAGTTTGGAAGAAAATCTATATTATATTTAATTTTTTATTTATTTATTTAATTTTTTAATCCTAGGAGAGATTCCAAATACGAGGTGTTAGAGATTGAGCCAGGTTGTGCAATAGGTGTAAATGTGTAATTCTAATTTCAAAAATATGTGATTAATTTAAGGGTTAGATCATTTTATATCTGTGTAAGTTATATTTTTTAACAATCATTTTCCATATGTGTATGTTATTTTTTTAATACTTTTCATTGATCCTATTTGTATTTAACTGCTCTGACTCATTAAATATGCGAGCTTCTAGAAATAAGCAGATAAAAGGTCAAATTAAGCTTAAGACTCCTTATTTTTATATGGAAGTAAGAACAACCTACTTCTTTATTTGAATACAAAATTAAAAATAAAATAAAATTATAAAGAAGATATAAGTAATTAATTAAAAAGAATTTAAATTTTAAATTTTAAATTAAAAATTAATAATGGCATGTGTAAATCTTTCAAAGATATCAAACTAAAGTACTAATTTATTGGTACAAAATGTGATAGAAAAATTTAAGAGAGATTGTTAGAGCCGGACAGAAAAGAGAAAAGTAACAAAAAAAAGAAGAAGTATTATGAGAAATTATGAAACTTACAAGTTTGGAAGAAAATTCATTTTAAATTTTAAATATTTTATTATTTTATGTTATGAAATTTACAAGTTTGGAAGAAAATCTATATTATATTTAATTTTTAATTTTTTATTTATTTTTTTAATCATAGGAGAGATTCCAAATACGAGGTGTTAGAGATTGAACCAGGTTGTGCAATAGGTGTAAATGTGTAATTCTAATTTCAAGGTATTTCAAAAATATGTGATTAATTTAAGGATTAGATCATTTTACATCTGTGTAAGTTATATTTTTTAATAATCATTTTATATATGTGTAAGTTATTTTTTAATACTTCTCATTGATCCTATTTGTATTTAACTGCTCTGACTTATTAAATATGCGAGCTTCTAGAAATAAGCAGATAAAAGGTCAAATTAGGCTTAAGACTCCTTATTTTTATATGGAAGTAAGAACAACCTACCTCTTTATTTGAATATAAAATTAAAAATTATTTAAAATTGTAAAGAAGATATAAGTAATTAATTAAAAAGAATTTAAATTTAAAATTTAAAAATAAAATTAATAATGGCATTTGTAATTCTTTAAAAGATATCAAACTAAAATACTAATTTAATAATACAAAATGTGATAGAACAATTTAAAAGAGGTAGAGCTAGAAAAAAGAGAGAAAGGTTGCGAAAAAGGAATAAGTATTATGAGAAATTAAGAAACTTACAAGTTTGGAAGAAAATTCATTTTAAGTTTAGAATATGTTATGAATCTTAGGATTTTATGTTATGAAATTTACAAGTTTGGATGAAAATTTATATTAGAT